AGAGCCTGGTGCTCATCCTTAATTGCCTATTCAAATAAATGTTTTTTATTTTTAACATGTTTCCTTTTTTACATTTTCAAAAGATTTTACAATAAAAATAACAAACTCTGGAAAAAAATTTAAAATAGAAAAAATTTAACAGACAGAAATACACATAATGATTCAGATTGTTCATTTATATAAAAATTATTTAAATTATAAATTAAAATTATAATATTATAGCATTTTACATTTTCAAAAAAATCTTCAAAAAAATATAAACTAGCCTAAAATTAATTAAATTAATCAAAAAATTAAATAAAAATTAATTAAAGGAATTAAAAGATAAAATTATGTTTATATACATAGAATATTTTGTCACTTGTTTTATTTTAGTTGTTGAATGTCTGGAGGTTTCTCCAATATAACTTGCATAACAGCCACCACAATTAAATTTGTCGACAAAATGAGCAGATCAGAGAGTGAAAGTGAAAGTAAATTTTTATATAAACAGTTGGATGACATAATTGCCATCTTTAATACTTTTTTGAAATAAATTAATGTAATGTAATCCTCAGTTTCTATGTATTAGTACTATTGTATCAGTAGTACTGATACAGTATAAGTACTACTGTATCAGTAGCAGGCAGTTTTTGTATTTATTTTACCGCAACTCATTACTTTTAGGCAACAGATATGCTTTTCTGTAATATCCTCTAAACTTTTGCCGATTTGAATTATTTCTATTTAAATATGTAAACATGCAGCTCTTTTTTAAACATGTTTTATTTTTTCAACTTATAAAAAATTAAAGCAAAATTAAAAATTACAAAAAGTAAATTTGTTTGAAACAAGTAACAACCTTTACTGATACTGTAACATGATTTTTATTAACTGCAAAGGATGTTACTGTAACCATTGAAACCATGCAACACTAACACAGCAAATATTGAGATGCAATAAAAAATAAATATACAAATTACAAGACCACACATTTTAAATTAAAAAAAAAAGAAATCTTGTATATCATTATTACAAAGCAGACTCGCCTAGCCAAAGTAAAACAAAAATGTCTCTTTTATCTTAAAAAAAGAAGAATCATTGTTTCTACATCCATTGTTCCATTTCAGATTACAACTTATGTTGGAGAAGCAGTAACTGGTATTTGGGAAAACCCAAAAGCAAAGTTGCTCAATTCAAAATAAAAAACAATTTGTTTTAGATTGAATAAGTTTTTTTGTTAATTATTTTAATAAAATAAACTAATTAAATTTAAAAATATTAATAATAAACAAAAAAAAAGCATTCACAACTTCATGCAACATTTTTTTCAAAAGATTATTTGTCCACAGTGTTTATTTATATATATATATATATAAATATATATATATATATATATATATATATATATATATATATATATATATATATATATATATATATATATATATATATATATATATATATTATTTTAATTCACCTCCTCAAAGCCGAGAAGGCCACTACAGACGAGGAGACTACTTATTTGTGGTTATAACCCTCTCTCAACTCTTTAACTCCGAAACACGAACCTTGACGAGCAAGGCCGCTGCGCGGAGAAACGAGTTGAGAGCGGTACTACCTGGGACGTGGTGAGGATCGAACTCGGATTATAATTAGTAGTTTACCCCATTTTTTAACTACTAGGGACATGGTGGTACTACCAGGGACGTGGTGGTGAACGAACTCGGAATATAATTAGTAGTTTACCCCATTTTTTAACTAAGTAATTAAATTAAATTTATTTAACAACAAATAAACTATTCACAACAACAAAGAAAAGGTTGGCAAAAAATTATCAACCTCTGACACTATTATGTTCACATTTTAATTTAAAAACTACTAAAGATCCTAGCTTTTATCTTTTCTAGTGCATATTGATTGAATATAATTGTCAAAACACATTTCTATTAACTTTTACATAAAAAAAAAAAATTCTGACCAAGAAAGAGCTTATAATTAGGAAAAATTGCCAATAAATAAGTAGAACAGATCATATTAAACCTATTACATTTTAATATTCTAAAGTCCCCTTAACTACACCGAGTGTTAAGAATAAAAGTTTTTTACAAGAAGAGATAATTTTTGCAAGTTCTTTAGTATTACAAATAAAGAATCATAAAAATACTAAAATGTAACAAAATACTCAAATAAATAGCTGCCTGTTGTTTTAATATATAATCGCAAAAAAAAAAAAAAGTCATATAGCTGCTGCAGCAAAGCAAGGGCTGCTTTGCAGGACTTGTGTTAATAAATAATGGTGAAAAAAGTATAGACATTGACCAAATGATAAGTACTCAAAAAAAATAAAAGAACAAGAAAAAATGCATTCAATGTATTAAGTCAGTTAGGACATGATAATCAAAAAATACAACCTACTTTTATAAAATGGTTACTACTTTCAGAAATAGAAGAGCAATACTCAAAATTTTGTGGGTGTTTAACACTAGGGCCCAGTACTTTAGGGGATATTGTAGATATTAAACATAACGAACAAATTAGGAATTTAATCGAACTTTATATGTATATCAATAAAATGTTTTAAATACTGAAGATAATAAATAAAATGGTGAAAATTTCATTGATGGATAATAAAAAACAAGATCACTGCAATGTTAGTTTCCTTTTTCCATGATAACAAACTGTTGCCATTTAACAAATACACCACTATTTTCTTACTTTAGATGAAAAAACTAGTAGTCTTAATCAGTTTAAAGAAGAACCAGGTAAGCAACTGCAAAACCCCTAATGAAAGCCCCTAATGACAAAACTGTATTTCCAATTATTTCCCTTATCAATTCATTAAAAAAACATTAGTTTTGTTAATAAATTGTTATTCCCTGAGTCATCCCTAATCTGTGGATCATCTTTAAGAGAAAGTTTTATTAAAGCAAAAATTGTATTTAAATAAAAAATGCTAAAACTTGATACAAAAAAAACATTTCAATATGTCACAGTAAAAAGAAGTAAAAAGCATATGTTAGAAACATTGAAAATCTTATCAATTACTTGAATGATACAAATTTATTTATTCTTATTTTTTACTATTTTTTGTAGGAGGTAATAAACAAAAATAGTACATTATTAAATGTAAGAGATAATAAACCATTTACTTTGTTATCAAAGCATAAAGAAATGATAAAAATTGAGAAAAATACGTATTTGTAATGAAGATTTTTTGTTATTGGATATTTTATGAAAATTGTTTCTTTTCTTAGTTTAATTAAACATTAATGTTACTAATTTCACAGTATGAGAATGGTAAGATTTAAAAAACATACAACCAAATTTCATCGCCTACACTACAGAAGTGCAGAAATATAGATATTAAATTTTAAAAAAAAAAAAGAACTGCTATACTAAAAAAACCTGGTTACTATAAAAACAACCTGGTTAGCAGCTCCAAGTCAGCAATAAGTGAATTTAGCTGTCCATTTTCTGAAAGAACACTATCCATTTGATTTTGATTTTCTCGAATACTAATCATGCATATAAAGATGTTAATTATGCATATATTTATATTAAAATTATAAAACTTATTAAGTTGTAAAAGATCTGATAACAGATTTTAAAATCAAAAACAAAAAGTTACATACATTAAATCTTTTTGTAGAATTAAATCATCTTTTGCTTTTAAATCGATTGTTAGTTGAATTATTTTTTGAGCATGCTAAACATATGTTAAACATAAGATAATAAAATCTTATAATTTTTTTACTTGGCAGAGTTTAAAATAGCCTAAGTTACTGTTATTATTTACAACTATATATATAACAAATATATTACAAATATATTTGTAATATATATATTTGTTATATATATATATATATATATATATATAACTATATATATAACAAATATATTACAAATATATATATATAATATATATATATATATATATATATATATATATATATATATATATATATATATATATATATGTATATATAGGTATATATATATATATAGGTATATATATATATATATGTATATATATATATTTATATATATATATATATATATATATATATATATATATATATATATATATATATATATATATATATATATATATATGATATATATATATATATATATATATATATATATATATGTATATATATGTATATATATATATATATATATATATATATATATATATATATATATATATATACATACATACATATGTATATATATATATATATATATATATATATATATATATATATATATATATATATATATATATAATATATATATATATATATTAGGGTGCATCCAGTGCCCCAATTTTGTCAAAAGTGTTTGTCCCTAATTTAATTCTGTTCCTCTTACCAAAACAACATTTTTGATGCAGTTTCAGAAAATTTGAACGTTATCTAGGTGGTCCACCAAGCAAACAAAGTTTTGGATATAATCGGAAAATTAGTTACATTTAAAATTAATTAACATGTTCTAAAACTAAGGTAATTAAGCTTTTTAATTAAACAAAGCTCATTTATTGAGCTAAAACACTTATTATGATAGGCAGTTACACAGCAAACAGTGACGCTAACAAATTAAGAATACTTGTATAAACTTGAGTTTGAACAAAAGCCGGTCAAACGCCAATGAAAACAGTGTCAGTCAGTCATTCTACTCATTTCTTGCGTTTTCTAATGTTTGGCCGCATTTCTGGTCTTTCTCAACAACCTGAAAGACATTTTAATAATGTTTTCCACACTTGGCTGTTGATTCATCCCTCTCTCCGCACTGTCATTCACCACATTCAATGCTTGAATGTTAATCATCGAAACCTGATATGAAGCACAACTAGGCCAGTTCACAATGTTCTCAGTCACAAACTCGGAGTCTACCTGCAGGATGTCAAACAAGAACCACGAATCAATTCCCACCAGATCAGCAAGCGTTGTTGATAATGTAATTGATTCAGGAAAATCTGGTTTTCCGAATCCTGTACTAAAACGGTGCTTTGGTTGAAACATTACAATACCTGGTTTGATTTCCAGAAGACAGTCAGCAAGAGCTCTCTGCTCGGTAGGTGGAACTTTATTGCTTTAAAGTGCATGAGGCATTATTTCTTCATTTAAATACCATAGATGTCGTTTAAGCGCTCTCAACACAATCTCTGATATCTTAGGGTGTACATCAACAATAATCGGAATAGCATGAGATCATTACATGGCGCATCTGTAGCTGAACTGCATGTCATCCACCAGACACTATATATCAGGGTAGAAGTTGACAAAATCTCTCACTCTGGCAGTTTTTTTGTAGTTATTGGCAGTGCTTTTGTAGTTATTGTGCCGATTGAAAGATCACGAATCTGTCCTTCAAATAGACAGATTTTAATTGAATATATGAGCTTCGCCATCCATCGGGCTTTGTGTAGTGTTCCAGGGCACTTAAAGGTCAGTGTGTGTCCTTCTTTTTCACAATCAAGAAAAATAGTGCACAACTTGACAAATTCTAGATATTCATCTCTACGATAATCTAGTTCCGAATGAGCAAGTTTCATAAGATTTTCTCTACAACGGTCAGTGAACATTTTAGCTTTTTCAGAAAAGGAGGTGGATTCAAACCTTGACAGTCAATCAGCTGGGCGCAATTGAAGTAGCTTAAAGTGTTTACGAAATCTTGTAAACAGAGTGATGTCTGGCAATTTTGAAACTTCGATTTGGAGGTCGGAAAACACAAGAGTTAAGATCGTCTCTCCAACATGATGTTGACACGCATTCCAAAGAAGACATCAACACAAGCGTTGCTGAATGGTCAAATGCCATGCAAATGAGTCGGTGCATTTCCATGACTTTAACAGGTCGACTGTTAAATCTGCAATGATATCACCAGATTTTCTATCTGTTCCAGGTTCATATGCTGAAATACCAAGTAGCTTCATTTCATTAGCAGTTCCTACTAGAACAGAGAGATGCTCGTCAGAAATGTTTCTGTTGGACATTGATGACATTTGTTTGGAATCCCAGTGCAGAGTTGCGAGTTTAGGAGGAATCCACTCATACCTGAAAGATTCTGCAAGGTTCTTTCCCACTTTCCGCCTGGATTTATCAGCATAAGAATATGATGCAGAAACCTTAGTTGAATCACCTCCTGCTTCCTCAATGAGAGCCTCAGTGTAAATTGCCTGCTGCGTTGGTGTCAAGGAAACTATAATTTATAAAAGACATGGTATTTAATGTTTTTTTGCTTCGATCACTTGTTTGGTCTATAGATTATAAACTTGAATAGGTCTAAAGGCGCAAATATAAAGTTTTGTTTTAGTTTATTAACTAGCTCAATTTTATTTATTTGCTTCCTTTATAAACTGTATAGATCAAAACGAAACAGCGTGACGAATTTGTTTTACATTATTCCAAGCTCTTTATATTTTTAAAACAACTTTGTAGTTTGTTTTAAAGTTGTTTTATAGCTTTTAACAATTAAATACTTTTTTAAATTAACACGTGTTTTAACGTCAGCATGAACGTGTTAAACAGTTTTCTTTGACTAATTAATATGGTTAAGATATTGTAATGTTGTTTTTTCTCTTACTTTTTTACTTTTACTTTTTTAAGTATCATGTTAAGTAAAAATATACTTAAAGTAATATCTTAATAGTGTTAAAAACGATATTGCTTATTACAACTGCAACCTAAACTTTAAGTTATAACTTGAGTTGTAAATAATAACAGTAACTTAGGCTATTTTAAACTCTGCTAAATAAAAAAATTATAAGATTATATTTAAATATGAGAGATAATATGTAAAAAATAGAACAATTACATACAAAACTTACCCTTATATACTTACGCAACTTCCCTTTCCCCCTTCCCCGTTACCGCTAAGCGGCGCAAGGTATAGGGATGGTGGGGGTTGAGAAATTATTTTTTTGAAATTAGATTTTTTTGCGTTAATTCGAGCATATATTATATATTTTTAATTATTATCGAAAAAAAAACATATTTATTTAAAATACTAAAGAATTTTGCATTCGTTCTGGTTCTTTCGCGTATGTCAAATTTTTCGTACAATGACAAAATTTCAGATTTGTGGTGGACCCCCTAAATTAGATCAGATTTGTAAAAAAAATTAGCAGAAGTTTATTTAACGTCAAATGGAACGTTTTGGGACTGGGGACAAGACAATTCTTTGATATAAGGGCATTGGATGCACCCTAATATATATATATATATATATATATATATATATATATATATATATATATATATATATATATATATAAATATATATAAAAACATATATATATATATATATATAAAAACATATATATATATATATATATATATATATATATATATATATATATATATATATATATATATATATATATATATATATATATATATATATATATATATATAAGCAATCATTTACAAATAAAAAAACTTTTAAATGCAACCCTCTATCAAAATATATATGGGAAACTAGGGAAAAACTGAAAGAAACACAAGAATTAACTTGGTCTATCCTAAAAAGCCCCTGCTTACAACAATACAAAAATAAATGTTTACTTTGTTTATATCAAAAACTAATAATATAATCTTCATAAAAATGCTTCATAAAAACGAATTTATTTTCAAATGTTGTCACGAAAATAAATTATATATATATATATATATATATATATATATATATATATATATATATATATATATATATATATATATATATATATATATATATATATATATATACAAATATATATGTATATAAATATATATATATATATATATATATATATATATATATATATATATATATATATATATATATATATATATATATATATATATATATATATATATATATATATATATATATATATATATATATATATATATATATATATATATATACAGGCCTTGTTTTAAATAAAAAAGTGCTTTATGCATTAGCTTAACGCGATTTTGACGTCATAAAATTATCTTTATTTTTTTTTATAGACGTTAAGTGTTTTAACTACCGCAATAAATAAATAAGCGCAAACTAGTTCAATTTCACAATTAACTCAAATATAAACTATAAACGTTTTAAATATAAATTTATTATAAAAATTTTGTAATGTTTTCAATTGTTATTTTATTATTAATTTTAGTTCAATATTATTTAGTAAAATAATGATTATTTTATTTTTAAAAATTTCTAGAGTAAACAAAAAAATATTAATATTGATAAACACAAACCCATGTTAATTAGTTAAACAACGATTTTGTTTTGACTAGCAAAGAAAAAATAAAGTTTTAAAATATTTTTTAAATTTTTAAAAGCGTTTCAACTAGCGTTTTATAAAGATATAAAAAGGTTTTGTCTGCTTTGAGCATATTTTTGATACTTAGAACATGTTCGCTAGGAATTTAGTTCATAATTTTTTTATGTTATTGTAAAAATATTTAACTTTTTAAACAAATCACAAAGAAACAGAGCTATAGAGAAAAATCGTTTTCAACGATTAAATCTTTTTTTTTTTTAGTTTTAGGAAATTTAAAAAAAAAAGAAATTAAATATAAAAGACTTAATTATGCAAACCCTTTTGTTAATTATTCTTAAAACAAAAAAACCAATACTATTACGCCAAACTTTAATCGTGCAAACTTAAAAAAATACTCAACTAAAATAATTTAAGTATATTTAATAATTTGAATCGTATCTGTTTATAATAAACTATCGTAAAAATTTGTTTATTAAAAATTAAGTTCCTTAACTTATAAACAAACTCAAAAGTATTTTCATTCTACGTATAATTACAAAACTCTTTTTTTTTTTCGTTTGTAAGCAATTTAACTTAATAAAATAAAAAAAAGAATAAATATGAGGCAATCTTTGTTAAGAATAAATTTAATTTATTTATTGAACTATATTTTTATTTTTAATTATATATCAACTTAACTAAAATATAGTAACATGTTAAAATATTTTAACATGACTTGTATTATTTATAAACCATTAAGCAGTTGCCCTTACGGCACTATTGTTTTTGGATATTATTTTATTTTGATGAAGATCACATAACTTACATTTGATTTTAATAACGTAAGTTTTCACTTTTTCTGTGATCATCGCATCGGCGAAGCATCGGCAAAGTCCCAAGATTTAAAAGTTTTTAAAGTAAATCTTTTGTCCTTCAAATTACAATCCATATTCGAACTTTAAACAATTTAGAGATAATAGAAATATACAAGGTTTTTATATACTAGTTTGTTTTGTTTTATAAAGAAAAATACATATTCATTAGTAAAAAATGGAGACTGTCATCAAACTAAAACGTGCCTTAATATTTATTTAACGGAACCTGTAATGTGCGCGTGCATAATAAAACCTCCGTTATATAAATATATTCAACGTAATATTAGTGTCATCAGCAGATGTAGTCTACTCATGATTTCTTTACCTTAAAATATAACTTGATTTATGAAAAAAAAAATTATTGAATCGCACGCAGAAGAATTTTTACAAATTGTCTTCATTCAAATATTGTGAGTAACAGGTAATTTTTTTTTTCTGTGCTGACTCCCTCCCTCCGCATAACTTAAACTATATACTTTTAACTAATAAGAAAAGCAAAGACATTTTTTTTAACATCTCTATTTTTGTTATCATGATAACAAAAATATTAAGACATTTTTTGAGATTTTATTAAAAAAAATGTCAATTCTTAATTACAAATTTTTTTGCAAATGTTTTTTATTATTAATTCAGTAAAAAATTCATAAAAAATCTATATTACAAAAAACTTTTATATTCTGTATTAATAAATATGGAATATAGATTTTTTTAAAGTTTTTTACTAAAAACTTTAAAAAATTACTCCTTTTTATTAAAAACATTGCAAAAAATTTGTAGTTAAGGATTGACAAACAATTTTTCATTGCTAAATATTTGGATAAAAAGTTTAGCGTCAAATTAATTGCTATAAAAAGGAAAGATATATCGGGATGAAAAGTTACAAAAATTATTTTTAAAG